GTGAGCGGCTTTCAAACTTTCAAAACTTTTTTTCTTCTTCAGATTTTCAGGCTCCCGACATTTCAGATTGCAACCCAATACATATATAAACGTGCAAATGAAATAGTTTGTCAAAAAAGTACTTACCTTCACTATTTATTCTTACAGCAAACCCACTTCTATATTCTTCTGATTCATATTCTCTAAAATGGGTTTTGACCAGCAGGTTGAAAAACATGGCTCTAAAGACTGTAAGTCTTTGGGAGTGGAGCCCCCTAGTGGCCATTCACATACATTGGCACTGGAAACTGATGAAGGAAATAAAATCATATTTTAGACATCTTATTTTTGCCAAAAATTGGTGATGTTACAAAGATCAACTGAAAGGGAGAAAGAAAACAAATGTGTCTGGAAAAATCAGGACCTTATAAGAGACAAATTACAGTAAGTGCCAGCCTTTTGGTGAAACAGAAGGCACATTTATTATTGCACATCACCCTGAGGTCTGGACTGGTCTGTCTGGACTCTAAGATTTTAGTGAAATATTGTAATTATGCCTGAATGCACCAGATTAGCTAAGTGTGCTGTCATTTTGATGTCTAGAACAAAAATGCCTTTCTGAGTCTACAGTTGAATCATTGTGATTACGAGTTTGCACATCTTAAGAACTCGACACATTTTGTCAATTTAATTTATTTTCAGAAATTCGGATGATACAGGGGGCCATCCTTACTGGGCAAGCAACTGAATGAATCTGCGAGCATGCTGGTGTGTGCCAGCTTGTGTCACAGGAGTGTGGGTGCAGTGGCTGTAATGACACTGACTCATCGGAGAGGCCATAGAGCAGGGGTCCTCAAACTACAGTCCGCAGGCCACATGCAAATACAAATATTGTATTTGTTCCTGTTTTGTTTTTTTACTTCAAAATAAGATATGTGCAGTGTGCATAGGAATTTGTTCATAGTTTTTTTTAAACTATAGTCCGGCCCTCCAACGGTCTGAGGGACAGTGAACTGGCCCCCTGTTTAAAAAGTTTGAGGACCCCTGCAATAGAGGATATAACCCAATGTCTTCATCCTGCAGACAAAACTGAGGTCCATATTGGAGCTGCTGGCCCGAGAAAATGAGAGCACAGACTTGGATGTTGGTTTGGGACTTGAGCCTAGGCCTTTTCTTTCTTTTTCTTCTTCTTCCTTTTTTTTATTTTCTTACACAAATAGAGCCGATATTTATTCCATTTGGAAAAAACGTTTCCAAAACAACTATGTTGTAGAAAATGTTATTATATCTTGAATATATTATCCATGAATGTAAAAAAGCAATTAATCAGAATTAAATGTAAATAAGGTGTACTTAGACTTAGTTCTAAGTACAATTTTATTCTTTTTTAAATTTATCTTTATTGTTGAGAGGAGCCCAGGCCTTTTCCTTTCCTGTGTGATGTGGGCTGATGTTCACCCCTCTCAATGCTGTAATCACAAGATGTATTTTCAGAATGATGTTGACAGGGAAACTGAGGAACCTTTTGCCTTATAGTTGGCACTTTAGGAAGAGTTAAAATCACAAATCACAGCAAGGGCCCCCCTAGCATTCTCAGTCCAAATAAGGGCGTTAAGGGCCTGCCCAACACAGTTGACAAAAACTAGGACTAGAAGCCATCCGAGTCTTCCAGACCAAAGCGCTTTCTGCTAAACAGGAAGGCGGATAGGGGTTTCGTTTTCCTTTACTAAGTAACAGCGCCTTTCCAATGTAGTAATAAAATTATGCATATTTGCTAGGTTTCTGTGTTCTCATGCTGTTGAACTTTGGTGACATGATTCTGCAGAGTTCTCTCTGATATCCATTGAAATATTCCCACTTGAGATAAAAAAAGGAGCAAGAAAATTCAGTTGGTGAATACTAAGTCCTCCTTGCCCTGTTGAAGAATATATTCCAAAGTTTGCCCAACATGGAGTGGCCTTAAGACAGAGGTTCTCAACCTTCTGGCCCTTTAAATACAGTTCCTCATGTTGTGACCCACCCATAAAATTACTTTCATTGCTACTTCATAACTGTAATGTTGCTACTGTTATGAATCGTAATGTAAATATCTGATATGCAGGATGGTCTTAGGCGACCCCTGTGAAAGGGTCGTTCGACCGCCAAAGGGGTCGCGACCCACAGGTTGAGAACCACTGCCTTAGGAGAACTGGATTTGAGATCAGTGAGACCTGGTTTCACACGCCAGCTCCACCTTTGTAGCTGGATGGATATTTTGTGTTTTTTAGCCTCATTCCTTCCGCCCCGCCCTCTCCCCCCCAGCCCCCACCACACACACACACACACACACACACACACACACACACGCACTGGTACACAAACACCAATTCCATCTACATGGAATTGCTAATATCACATATTTGTAAAGGCACCTGGAACATAGGAAACTCAAATGTCAATTATCCTTTGCTTTAAATTGGCTAGATAATGAATTTCTGTTAACTGAGTTATGTCTTCAATCTGTTCTTGCATATGTATTCCCATGGGAACCAAACTTTGAAGGATGTACACATTTTGGCAAAGAAAAAATAGATCACAGAAACCTTTTGTGGCTGGTACAGGTCTGGGGAGTCTCGGAGTTATCTGAAACACACGGACTTCCATTCCCTACTTACTAACTCAATCACCCCAACATGGGGCTCCATCCTCAGCTAGTCCTCCACTCCGCCTCCTACCAATCTCAAATAAAAGAATAAAGTTAGGTAACTCCTCAGTTTCCAAAGCTTTGTTATGTTTAGATGTCTAATAAAACTAACAAAATCCTATATAATAAAAAGCTAATCGACCAAACAGCACAACGACTGGTCGCTATGATGCGCACTGACCACCAGGGAGCAGACGCTAAACACAGGAGCTGCCCCCTGATGGTCAGTGTGCTCCCACAGGGGGAGCACCGCTCAGCCAGAAGCCGGGCTCACAGCTGGTGAACGCTGCGGTGGCAGGACCTCTCCTGCCTCAGCATCAGTCGGACATCCTCCAAGGGCTCCTGGACTGCGAGAGGGTGCAGGCCGGGCTGAGGGATTCCCCCAAGTGCACAAATTTTGTGCACTGGGCCTCTAGTTTGTTTATAAGGGGGAGTCCTAGAAAATTTGAAAATTTCATAAACTTGAGGTTTTAGGAGATGATTATCACTGTCATTTATTAAGGCCCCAAGGGCAAGGCACTATGCCAGCATTATGGGCAAGGCACTATGCCAGTGAGTCCTCATGACCACCTCAGGAGGTGGGAACTGTTATCACCAGGACTAGAAAACTGAAGCCAGGCAGGTGAAATAACTGTGGCTGGGATCTGAAGCCAGGCTAAGCCCGGAGTGTCATTCTACGCGGCCTGCTGCTCTACCCCGTTTGTGTGTAACTTCCCTATTACACTTGTCCCTCCTCCTAGACTCCTTCAGCATGTAGTCTGTGTCACATGACTTAACAATTCCATGCCATCTTGTCCTGTTTGGAGGTTAGATTTATCTCATAAGTAAATGGTAATCCTCAAGTACGTAATTTAAATAAAAAAGATAACCTCCAACTGGGCTAAGAAACTTAGAATAGGGAGAGCTTTCTTCTGGGAGAAAAATAGTATTAGTTGACATATCATTCATATTTCAAAGATGTTTCAAACTTAAAAACAATTTCTCTTTAGCTAACTGGCTTCAGAAATTTTGCATGGCCCACTTTTAAACTCTGCAAATTCACTAAGTATTTGGTAAATGAATAAATGTCGACAAAAAGATATTTGGCTTTGATTGGTCCTTAAATGCCTACAAACTTAGAAAATAATATAGTACTATCTAAATCTGGGAGAAATGAACTTAAAGAGCGTGAAAAAGACTAAGTGGCCATTATTTTTGTTGCTCATTTTGAGTGAGGGTGATACTGTCCACTTACATACAAACTACAGAATCTTGGCCACATCACCTCTCTCTCTCAGCCTTTTTTTCAATTGTAGAATGACTTAACGTTAGTAGATCAATTTTTTTTCATACTTTGGCCACTGGCCATAGCAGGAAATTAATGTTCATCATGACCTAGTACATACATATTTATATCTGCAACAAATTTCATGGAGCAGTAGCTTATCCTTAACTTGTGCAATGCACTTTGATATCTGTCATATTTTCTCTTATTAAAATACTGATGGCCATGCACTAAGATGATCCCATGATTCCCTATTTGTAAAAGTGTGAACAACACTAAATGGTCTCATAGTATCTAACAATAAAGTTCTGTAAGAGAGCAGAAAGGTAATTTCCATCTTATTCTTCCCCTAAATTCTTAGAAAATGATGCGATTTCTACTGTCGTTAGCATTCCGTAAATGGCAGCGCCACCTCCTCCAGTCACTTTAAGGCGCCCCCTCCTGGCGGTTCAGGAGCGCACTAGTGAAAAACGTTTTCCGGAACTTTACAGGCTGTAAGGTTTTACAGTGCAGCTAATGGTAAGAAAGTGACAGTGGATCCCACCTAGGTTGCAAAATGGAGCCTCTTATCTTTTCCTGCAATAAAATGTATACAATGTCCTGCCAAGTCCCCCAGCCCTTTAAGCAGAAAGTTGGCCTAGCTGGTACTGAAAAAGATTTTCCTGGTATTAATCTAGAAGAGACATAAAACATCAACTATTTTCTGTGGGCCATTCTGCAATGTTTACACAGCGCTGGCTTCTTGGGATGACTTAGGTTCTTACAACTTGAGAAATGCCAGGGCAGACAAGCAGTCTCGAAGCAAAACCAACAAGCTCCCAATTACTTTGTTTGCACAGATGCAAAAGCGTGGAAATTTATATGGTAAGGCCTGAATTCCAAAGTTTGTTCGTTTTGTTTTTAATTACACACCCAACCGAATGCATAAAAGCCCACAAAATGAGTGCAGTGAAAAATGTCATCTTTTCTATTTTTAAACTAAAATGTGGAGCTCATAAAAGTGAGGCTGTCGTAAATTTTCACTTGGGGACAAAAACCACTATAAGCAGGAAAAAATGCATACACACACCCAAATTTAACAGTGGTAAACAGTTTTTATTCAGGCAATGAAACATGGAAAAAATATATTAGTAATCATTATAATAATTTCATTTGTGTGAGTATAACTTTTACAAATATTTACCTGACATATAAAAGGGAAATTACTGTGCATATAAAATTTATGTAGATGATTACTCCACACAACACCATCCTGATAGCAGTAGTCAATGCAGCATCCATTCCTCGAGACGAGGCTCTCACACACTTCATGGCACCCGTGGGGACACAGTGGAAGCAGATGTGCAATTAACATTTACTTGTTGGCACATTAGTACACGTGGGTATCTACTGGCAAACACACTTGCTAACAGCAACACTGAAAAGTTTACTGCCACCTCTGAGATTTAGAGAAATGCCTGGGTCCTGTCCCATTGGGTAGGAAGGACCAGGACTGAGGCCGCAGGTATGGTGACACCTGCCCTGTATCTGGACTGGGGGTGGTTTCCGAGTTCAGATTTTCATAGGTCCACTTGGAAATTATTAATATAGAATATCGGTTAACCATGTGACTTGGAAATACGTTTTGCAGTGTATTTCAGACACCACTGAAAGGCAGAGGGGGAGAAAGTGGCATCTTTATAGTTCTAAAGAATCGATACAGGGAAGTTTCAAGCCACACCTCAGCTCCACGTCTGGCCTCCTCCAAATGAGTTAAGACTGTTGGCATCGCACACAACATCTTTATATTAGAACTATAACCAGAATATATATATATATGTAATAGCTGTAACCATATTATAGTTAATAAAGTCATTCCTTAGGAATCTTGTTTGTCCAAATCTAACTGCATGCTAAGAGGCACAAAAATGGGATTGCATTTGGACAAAGAACTACGAAAAGTGCAATCTTTAGTCTCCAGAATGCTAGCTCGGCACCAGGGAGGGTCTCCCCTAGAAATGCTGCTGTTTATATTATCTTCCAGAGGAGATCCTTACAGAGAAGTGTCCGATTCCTTTAGCTTTACTATATGGGAGACTCACGGTTTGAGTGGTAAATTGCTTTCTAAAAATCACTGGGATCTGGAGGCCAGTCAAACCTTTTTGGACAGAAGTCTCCTCAAAATATTTCTATCAACAGACCTTTGGCCTGACATTCTGGGATTCCCAGACTATATTTGTTCTTTAATAAGCAAATAATAATCTGCTATCTTTAAAATTCTTCAGAATATATACATCTTTACTTTAAAATCCTTTGCTGAATCATTTACTCTTTCAACTCCTAGTTTCTCTATTTCCAATAAGGGGATGAAGTAAGAAATGAAGTCCAAGAGCAAGCTCACCTGGTCACAAAACCACAATGAAAAGACAGTTCAGCGAGATGACTGCTAATTGTAGTGAAAAACCAAAAGGAAATAAAGAGGGAGCTCTGGGGCTTTTACACCATGAGAAAAGGATGTGCTGGGTCATTTCCAACTGGTGCACTCAGGTTTACCAATGCTTGCTCGTTAAAAATTCCATTTTGAGCTTTAAAGCCCCAGCAAGCCCTCGGTTACTTTTATTTAAAGTGAGCGCTTCCCTCCGGCTGCTTTTAGACAGACAGCCCAGGAACACTGGGGGCAGTTTACTCCTCCTGTTCACAAACAGTACTACCTCTGGGCTGTCCAACAGAGACCTACGTATTGCTGTGAGAATTGCACAAGGTGGAAAGGGTAACTGGCTGGAAAGAAAATTCAACGTGGGCCATCCTCAAACCCAAACATCAATCTTTCCTTAGATTCCATATCACACTGGAAGGCAGCCAGAGCCTCAGATGTGTTTCTGCACTTCCTAATTTGGGCTGGGTCTGAAGAAGCTGGAAACCACGTGAGAAAACCGGGCTTCTCAATATTTCCAGGACAGTTTCACGGAACAAAAGGTGTGGGCAGGCCTTCAGGAGCTTCTCCCAGTATAGTACATCTCAGGAGGTCTGACTGTAACCAACTGGCTAACCAAGCAACAAACTGTTCAGTCTCCAATTAAAATACTTTAAGATAAAGACTATATACCTATCTACACTCTGACAAAGTAAAAAACTTAAGCAATGTCTCTGGACCCAGAGTCTCAACAAGATCACCAAATACTTCCCAACCACAATCTAGGCCAGCAACTTGCACTCATGTCTTTTCACTTTTGTAACAGGGTTTATTATTGCCTAATAAGGAGTCTGGCTCTCTAGGCATCAACTCTAGGCTGTCTTCTTACTCCAGAGTTCTAAAAGTTTGGAGTTGATTTATTTGTTTTGTGGGTTTTTTGTTGTTGTTGCTTATTTTTTAAGAAAAATAAACAAACATACTTTATTCTGTCCAGTTTAGTCTCTTGATTTGCCAACTGCACAAGCTACATTTTTATTCTCGTTGGAGAATATCCACCTATTACATTAGAAGGAAGAACATATTCTTGTAATGGTCATTCATGGCTGAGAGACCAGAGGCAAATATTACTTCACCGGGGTCCTCTCGTATTCCTGGTGCAGCAACTTCACTCTAGGGCAGGGGTCCTCAAACTACGGCCCGCGGGCCACATGCAAATACAAATATTGTATTTGTTCCCGTTTTGTTTTTTTACTTCAAAATAAGATATGTGCAGTGTGCATAGGAATTTGTTCATAGTTTTTTTTTAAACTATAGTCCGGCCCTCCAACGGTCTGAGGGACACTGAACTGGCCCCCTGTTTAAAAAGTTTGAGGACCCCTGCTCTAGGGTCTAGTTTTTAAGGAATCTCTTTTACCCATGTGCTGGGGAAGGATTGTCGTCACCTGTTTTAACACATAGCTACCTTTTTTATATACACAAGAAACCTAAAAAGAGGACTAGGATTTACGATGGAGACCATTATAAACCTTCCATGCTTAAAACAGATCAACAGAAAGCAAGTAAACATGGACATGTCACCAAAATACAGCAGCAAAAAGGTTTAGCAATGTTTCTTTCTGCAAAATGCAGTTGCTTTTCTTGGTAGGAGAGGACCAAAGGAGGAAATCAGTGGCGCCACCTGGAGACACCTCGCTCCACTGAGCTAAATAAACTCCAGCCCAGCACTCACATTAATCCAGGGACTGTTTTCAAAGCCCAAATGATTGTCCTGTCACCTCTCTAACCACACATCACTTCTGTTGTTCTTTTTTGTACAAAGTGGTAAGACAATAGGCTTTAAAATACAGCCTAAGCACCAATTATGTAAGTGCATATCGATAAAATGTGACTTCTGGCTTTAAAAGGCATTATTGACCTCCTTGGGGCTAAAGATTGCACCCCTGTGAACAGTACACTTCTAAAGGAAAATTCGCGTTTAAAGACTTACAGAGGCTCTCCACCTGGCACAATTCATTGCTGAAGGTGGATCATGCAATAGTTTTACAGGAAAAGTACGAAAACTACAGGTACTGAACACAGTGCATGTGACCATGAAGACCTGCAGGTGTTAAGGTTAAGACGAGAGTGCTTTAAAACACCCGCAGGTTTGGTTTTGCCTATCAAACGCTAGGGAATTTTCCTTTTGGGGGTTAGCGGCCTCTCACCTCTGAAGCAAGCCCAGGAAGAGCTTGAGGACGTGGGTTCTGTGTGTGCGGACCTGCTCCCTGCACTCCCTCCTCCACTAGTCAAATGGCCTCTGTTTAAAAATATTCAAAATGTGCTGATTTTCAGAGTGGTTCACATGATTTTTACTGCCTGTTTTGTTAAAAATTCTGTCTTAAGTTTGAAATGAATTTTTTTTTTTGACTCAAAAGAAAAAATCTGAAGAACAAGACATCCCATTTGTGAAAAAACGACTGTTTCTTTCCCTTTACTTGCTGATGGGGTTACAAATACATTTTAATTATAAGATCAACTAAACCTTTTACAAGTAGATTTTCTCGGCGTATTTCAAATAATCAAGAGGAAATATTGGTTTTGTAGCAACAAGTGAAGCAAAGAAGTGGCTCTAGGACGGCCTAGCCACACCCAGGTCCGAGGGAGCCCCACTCAGCTGTTCCTGCAGGAAGCAGCCGCTGTCAGCCTGCGGACCCACCCGGAGGGGCCACGTTCACACTCGCTAAGGCTGATGAGTGTCCAATACCAGGAACAAACGTTATGGCGAAGTCTTCCCTGGACGTGAAACCTGAGCTGGGGTCATGAGTCATGACAGGGGTCGGGGGTTTCCACATGTTCAATCCCCCCAAATCCTGAAGCTGGCGTTCTGAGCCAGGACTCTATTCCAAAATAAGTTTCTACATTTATGGAAATAGGCTCTTCTGTAGGTTCTTATTTGACTACACTTCAGGGGAAAACAGCAGCATATGTAAATATATGTGTTTGTATATGTATGTAAATGGATACTCAGAGCCCCTTCTTGTTTACAAACTAAAAGTAACAAAAGCCAAATTACCTCCTCAACTAAAACCACCAATACTGAAAATTAAATTTAAAAGATGAAATAAATATGTAACACACACAAAAAATCAGAGACATGGCGAACAGGAGATGATCCCAAATCGTAGCCATAAGTCACAATTTTAACGCACTTGGAAAAGCAAAGTGGACTTCCAAATGAATGAAGACAGGCTGTGGTGGCGCCATGTTAGGACGCAGGGGAAGGAGGTGAACACCTAAAAGGGGTGCGGGAGTGGGGTTGGACCCAGGGCTGCAGCAGGCCGCCCCTCCCTCCCGCCTCAGTGGATCATGCCCAGAGCGGTTGTGGGGAGATGGGTGGAGGAGATGATGCTGTAAAATCCCAGTGGAAATAATTTGAGAGAATTATGTGAGGGTTCATTTGAAGGCCTGCTTTCCCTCCAGTATTTAGATTTAACCCGCAATAAAATAAAATTTATTGAAAGGAATGCGTTTGCAGCACTCCTTTTTTGCAATATATAAATCATGGTTGCAATTTAATAACAAAAGTGAGCTTTGGAACACTTCAGGCCTGGCATGGAATGCAGCTTTTACACAGGTTATAAGGAAACTAAGGTACAAAGAGGCCAAGGGACTTGTCTAGCTCACTCATGGCATGCTCTGCTTTCTCCACCTGACCTTTGGCATGTGCAATAGAAGGCACCAAGCACATTCAAAGTAGCATCGTCATGGGAATCCCAGTGGTGCTTCTGCCCTGATATATGAATGGTCCTTAAAATTCCACTTCTGCGTCTGACTTTGATTCCTGCTCATGTGCAAAGTTCCTAACTGCTTATATGTGTGCGACATAGAACTGAAAGAACTAAGTTTAGCTCAGAGTTCTCCAGGGAACGAAAGGTGTGGGTGCTTCCTCAGCCATGAGCCTTTTTTAAATGGTAAAGCAGGAAGAGCTCCTAAAAAGCTGCTCTTCCCCATTACTGAGAACACTATTTTTCAGAACCTATATGCCTCTGGAGTGAATTATATGTGGCAATGGGAATCTTTGAAGTATGGGAGAATATGCTGTTCATGTTAAGCTGTGGTGTGAAGAAATATTAATAAAGTACATAGCTGTAAGAAAAAATGAATTAAAACAGAGAAATCACAAACCCAACGTAGCAGCCTGTCTACTGGACCTTGGGCGGTGCTGTGGGGACTCCAGGACGGCCTGCTGCCACTCCTTCGGCGACGGTGCAACACTCCCGGTTCTGCCAGGCCTGTGCGTCGCAGCAAAGCGGGGCAGGCAGCAGTGGGATGTGCTTTTTCAAAGTGTTTTTCTCTGCAAAGGGGCAACAATTCCTGGATAAGGCAAGATAACTGTGGTCACGACAGAAGCAGCCAAACGCAGATCCACTGAGCGAACAGGGGAAACTCAGTCAGTCTTTCCCAGCTTTGCAATCAGCTCGTCGCAGATTTTCGTCAGTTCTTCGATTTCTTGGTTCTGAAAGACAAATGATACGACTGTGCAGGTCAACTGTGTCCTGAGATAAAGGAAATTATAACCAACAGTCCCCAGACTGGCTCTACTCTCACTCTGTGGCTCTTTCTATATCTTTTCTCCTTTAAAGAAAGGAGAGCACTAAACCTTCCCCCCTGGAAAATGCTCATGTGCACAAAGTTATGCTTAAACTGAGGAGGGGGTGAGGGTAGTCGCTGGCCCTCTGCAGCTTGTCCACGAACCCCTTACTTCTCAGACTTTCTTGGTATCATAGGAATTACCCGGGGCACCTGTTAAAAACACAAGTATCTGGGCCTCACTCAATCCATGAGCATGTCCAGGGACCTGGGATGCTTGAGTCCTCGTATCCCAGGAACTCTGACTTTTTGTCAGACGCCATGGTAAGAACCCTGCCCTAACTTAATGGAGGTCACAGGCATGAGTACACAACTGAGACATAGGAAGGGAAACACTAGAGGCAGACAGAAACCAAAGCCCGAGGATCGCCGAGCAGGGAGCAATAGGGACCACTGTCATCACTCTTCACCTACAGCAGTTGCTCCACCACCCACCACTGTCATTTGGGGCTGGGTCAGTCTTCCTTGCGGGGCTGTTCTGTGCACTGTAGGATGTTTGGCTGCATTTCTGGCCTCCCCCACTAGATGCCAGTAGCATCTCCTAGTCATAACAACCAAATACATCTTTAGGTGTTGCCAAATGTGCCCTACACGGTAAAATGATAATTAAGGGGAAGACGGCTTTTATATTACATTAAAAAAACAAACAAACAAAAAAGCACCACACACACACAAACACACACACACACACAACTTTTTTTTAAAAGGGAGCCTAAGAACCCAACTAAACAGCGTTTGGTCCCTGAAGTTCAGTTAATGCCACTTCCTCTCTGCACCCTGCCTGTGGACAGTTCCCACCAATGTGCCTGGAATTTCCTGGTTTGCCTTGTTTGTTTCCCCCTGAACTGGCTCAGAAAGGAACTGGATTGAAGTGTCTGGACAAAAAGGTAAGGCCTCTTTCATCCAGATCCACCGCAAGCTAGCTACTGCGGAGGACAGAAACCAACGTCCCTGTGGTCACACCCCTCTTCGTACCTTCTGCTGAAGGGCCCTTTCCAGGGACTCCACCTTCATCTGCTCTTTCCGGAGTCCTGCGTGGAGAGCTGCACTCTCAGCCTTTGCTTTTGTTCGAACCTGAGCAATCTCTTCATTGGCTCTGTTTATGTTTTGTTTGTAGAATAAAGGGACAAAAAGCACATGGTTAGTCATCAGTCACTGCAGAAGAGTCAGGACAGCAACCAGTGACATCTGTGAAACAACCTGAACGAACTGACTTCATGACAAGAGAAAAACAAAAGGAATCGGTGACCTAAATAATTCAATTTTAACTTATAAACACTCAATTTACATACAACTGCTAAGCAAGTTTGCATGGCGCAAACCAATGGTAGAGTTAATCTCAAAGGCCATAGTGTCCTTCAAAATTCATGTCACTGGAAAATGGAATCACATGACAGTTTCTACAACAATCAAATGAGTTTTGTGAGGTTTTTAACCCAGTACAATAGCAGGTAGGATCATCCTTGGGATCATCACAGATAAAGAGGCAGGATACTACCCATCTCATTTATGACACAGTCCTAATAGTGACTTTACTATTGTGGGGCAAAGGAAACTTTTTAAAAAACATAAATGTCAGTTGATAAATAGCCAATTAACTGACAAAAGGATGGTAAAACTCACTAGTAATCAGAGGCATGCAAATTAAGGTGATAAATCCTTAAAATTCATCAGACTGGGGAAATTAACAAGAATAATCTTGTCCCGTATTGGCTGAGATGCAAGGAAACAGGCTCCCTGGGGGAATGAAAATTGGCCATCTCTGTGGAGGGCGATGTGACAGTAACCACTACAGTTTAACATGTGTACACCCTCTGGGCCAGCAGTGCCCCATTAGTAATCCATCCACAGCAATATTCCCACCTGGCACAATGGTGAATCAGATTACACTACATGTTCTGACATGAAAAATGGCCATGCTATACTATCAAATGAAAAAGGAAACTTTGTAATATGCTGCCTCCATTATACGTTTTAAAAAGTCAACGCTAGTATGGGCAGTATTTGTAAAGGCACAAAGACTGGAAGGGTACACAATAAACTTTCATAGCAGTACCTTTGGGAGTGGCAATGGGAAAGGGGGAACTTAAAAGGTCTTACAAATAGGAAGACAGTGAGCAAAATGTACAAGTATGTATTAGTTTTTAGTTAAAAAATAAAGTTGGATGCATCCTTCATACCACTCCCCAGGATAAATTCCAAATGTGTTGGTTTTAAGAATTAAAAAAGTAAGCCATAAAAGTACTAAAGGGAAAACATAGGAGAACTTTTTATATTCAGCCCAGCGGAAATCTTTCTTCCTATGACAGGAAATCCTGACGCTGTAAGAAAAATGACTGCTAATTTCACTAACAAAAATACATGTCTGCACATCAACACCACTACCAGCAGAGCCAAAGGATAACTGACAAGCAGGAAAAATTATTCACCACTCATATCACAAAGGGCTGCCATCCTTAATATATAAGTATAATAATGTGCTATAGGTAACACATATATAAACTGACAATAGAAAAATGGGCAAAGAACAGTCATTCATAGTGAAGCAAGTATCTGTATGGACAGCTGCTAAAATCTGTTCAATTTCACTCATAAAATAAACATAAATCAAAACTGCAATGAATAAAATAAATGCTCTGTTGCTTGCCAAAAAAAACCCCCAGAACAACAACAATAAAAACCCAACTAACTACACCGAAATACCATTTTTCATCTATTATATTTGCAGAAAACCAAAAATCTGACCTGTTGGCAAAGCTGTAGAGAAAAGAGACACTCAGACATTGTGTAGGAATATAAATAAATAGAAGTCTAAGGAGGGCAGCTGGACAGTATCGTAAGTATAAACTCCTATATTCTTTGGCCCAGCAGTCCTTTCCTATCACACAGATAACTCCCATGCATGCCTAATGATAAGCATAAAAGGTTGCTTATTGCAGCACTGTTGGTAGAAGATTTTAAATAACCTGAAGGTCCAACAGGGTGTGTGTGTGGGGCGGGGGGGGGGGGGACATTCCAACAATGGAATGATCATTCCAACAGTGGAACACGCCACGGCTGTTTAAAAAAGCAAGGAAGCTCTTCATGGATTGATATAGGAAGATTTCCAAAATACATTGCTAAAAGAGAAAAGCGAAGTATGCTATCATTTGTATAAAAAAGGAAATTCTCACATTAAAAAATGGTAATTATTGAGATGATGGAGGTGTTGGCTAACACTATCATGGTGCAATACATAAATATATCAAATTGGCACACTGTATACCTTAAACTTACACAATGTTATATGTCAATTATGTCTCAATAAAGCTGGGGGAGAAAGCAGAGGGGGATAAAAAAGTATCTGGGAGGATAAAATAGATGACCCCAGCTGAGGAAAGAGGAGGAAACCCAGGGGAGTGGGCATGGGGTGGAGGGAGATACGGTATATTTTCTTATTCTTTTTAATATTAGAACATGGGAAGATTCTACCTATTCAAAAAAGTAAATGCACACACACATACACAGACACATGTCATCTAGAGTTGCAAAACAGTGATTTCTTCCTTGCCTCCATCAATCTTCTCACATCATGAAAAGTAACATTCTTATGTGCAAGCTCTTACTTGTCCAGTTTTTCTTCTGCGTGGATCTTCAAAGCCTGATACCGCTGTTCCTCCTGCTTAACTCTGGCTAAGTAATCCTGAGCACATTTTTTCAAGGCTTCTTCATTCTGTTCTCAAATGACAAGTGAAAATAAAAGAAACAGGTCATTTTCTTCTTCTGCTGCTAGTGACACACCATGTATCAGAGTTCTCATCTTTTTAAAAACAAGGAAACCCAATTAATTCAGATGCCTTTAAATTATACCGTATGGTAATTTGAAACAGGCACAAATAAACCTACCGAAGAAATTCTAGATAATTTCTTTGTGTATAGGTACGGGGCATACATTAATTTTCATACAGCAAGGCTCAGTTACACTAGTACACCTGCTTTAGGAAGGCAGTTATTCAACTCTGAATGGCAATCTGATTCCCACAGATTAACTAGCCAGTCTCATTTTTATTTTAATATGGACAAAAAGAATGTTCACCGCTATAAATGTTATCTCATTGAGGGTAAATTAAATCAATACACCTAAATTTGAAATATTACTTTTCTCTAGAATATGCAGCCTGAACTTTCCAGGGCTATGTCTAGAATCCCTTTTACTTTTACTAATATTAAATTGGTGAATTATCAAAATGAACATTTCTAGAATTCTCCTAAAGTCCGAGGGTTCCACAGCTCTTATACTCCATGCCACACTCTGGTTGTGTCTGGGGTTTACTGGCCTGACCCAGGAGAGGAATGACCAAGACACGCCACCCACACAGAAAAGTGGGGAGGGGATCCTCCAGCTTCCCTGGAATAGAAGATACAGGCCAACAGGGGCCCCAAAACCCAATTTAAAAGGCTACCCATACTCCTCTGCCATACACATCTGAAGATCTACCACCACAGCAAAGAGATTCCAGAAGAAAGGACATGCTACCTTCTTGAACCCTTCCAGAACTCCTTTCAGGTTCTCATATCTCCTGAAGAGATCCGAAAGGGACCTTTCCACAGAGTTAAGGTCAGCCAGGGCCTGCTCCTTCTCCATGGTCAGTTGCTGGAGGCTTTTCTGAGAGGTCATACTTGTCCTTTGTTCATCTTCTGTGAATTACAATCAAAAGCAAAGGCATATTCGATCAACAAACAGTTAGCAGCTGCCCTCCTGAGCTAGTGTTCTCGCTGGTGGGACCCAGAGTGGACATTACAAAGTCCCCACTCTCAAGGACTTACCTTCTATGGGAGAGAGATGTGGTGACAAGTGATGGGGGGAACAAGGCAGGGCAGGAGGGGGGGGTCCCTTTTTATAGAGCGTGGACTCACTCAGGAGAGATCTGAACAGATTCCAAGCGGGTGAGGGGAACAACTGTGGCAAAGGCCACGTGTTGGGAAGGTATTAGGTGACGAGGACAGTAGAAAATACCACTTCAATGCTTAAGTATAGACAGACCTGACTGGTTTCAGGAGTTAGTCCTTACAACATTGGCCAGGAAGCTCTAAATCCAGTGCAGGAAGATCAACCACTGATGTTTTGGAATGGCACCATGGGTCTGATACCAGAAGGTACGCTAGCAGTAGAGTGAGGACACTGCACCACCTGGGGGTACCAACGATGTACCTAGGCTGCCAGTTCTCTGGGTACTGGGGGAGGGCTTTGCACAGAATCCCAGTGTTTGCCATCCTCTAAAATGAACCCAACTACAGCTGATCCCCGTCACTCACAGATGCCACACCTGTGAGTCTGCCTACTTACTAAAATTTACTTGTAACCCCCAAATCAGTACTTCTGGTGCATTCCCGATCATTCACAGACATGTGCAGAACAGCTGAGGTTGAGAAAGGTGATGCTTTCTCGCTTTATACTGTAAACAAGTGTCCTTTCCACAGTCTATTTAGTGCTTGTGTGTGTGTGTGTGTGTGTGTGTGTGCGCACGCGCTTTCTGTTGGTGATTTTGTATTTTAAAAAAGCTCCCAAGTGTAGTGCTACAGAGCTGTCTAGAGTTCCTAAGTGCAGGAAGGCTGTGATGTGCCTTCTGGGGAAAATACATGCTCAGTAAGTTTTGTTCACACATGGGCTATATAGCACTGTTGGCCTCGAGGTCAATATTAATGAATCAACACTACCAGTATATATAAAATAAGATGTCTTTAAACAGAAGCACACATAAGACAAGATTATGTAATTTCAAAACAGTGTGACCAGAGCAGTGATGGCGAACCTATGACACGCGTGTCAGAGGTGACACGCAAACTCATTTTTTTGGTTGATTTTTCTTTGTTAAATGGCATTTAAATATATAAAATAAATATCAAAATATAAATCTGTTTTACTATGGTTGCAAATATCAAAAAAATTTCTATATGTGACACGACACCAGAGTTAAGTTAGGGTTTTTCAAAATGCTGACACGCCGAGCTCAAAAGGTTCGCCATCACTGGACCAGAGCTAGCAGGAACCTAACACTGCACTTCCCTGGAAACAACAGTTCAGTGTTTGCTAACTCGGTGTTGGTGGCAACTTCATAAAACATAACTAATGCGAATGAGAATCAATTGCATCTAAGTGATGGACAAAGTGAAGTTTATATCCTGATTTGAAATTCATCTATGGATCCTATGGCTCATACCCTAGGAAAAAAATGTCCTTACCAATCATTTGGGCAATGGTCTTTTCATATTCAGCCACAATTTTCCTTAAAAAAAAAAAAATTATTATCAGAGGAGAATTTGTAGACAACAGAAGTTGGAGAAATACTTTCCCAATTAAACACATTAACATACAGGGTGGGGCAAAAGTAGATTTACAGCTGTTTGCTTAGAAAATAATACAATTAATATAATACAATAATAACATCTGGTTTGCGCACTCACAACTGTAAACCTATTTTTGCAGCACCCTGAATACTGACAGATTTACATAACCCATTTATTCACTTTGGATCTCTCTCTTTTTTTAACATTAATACAAGATTTCTTAATGTTCAATAAGATTTTTCTTAAGATTTTATGTTTAACTAGAGGCCCGGAGCACGAAATTTGTCCATGGGGGGGGAGGTTGGGGTGTCTCTCAGTCTGGCCTGCACCCTCTCTAATCTGGGACCCTTGGGGGATGTCATCCCTCTCACAATCTGGGACCGCTGGCTCCTAACTGCTCCCCTGCCT